TACTTTCTTCTGTATATCAAATGACTAATTTATTCTTCTATGTATCAAATAACTAACTTTTTCTTCTGCATATCAATGACTGATTCTTTTTTCCACATATCAAATAACTAACTCTTTTTTATAAATATCAAATAATTAACTTTTTTTCAAATATCTAATAATTAAATCTTTTTTGTATATCAAATAACTAACTCTTTTCTTTTTTTTACTTCAGCAATCTTTTCTTTATTTTTTAAATCAGCAGTACCTTACAACAAGATATCTTAGTTGGCTAAATCTATATTATCTATAAAAAATACTTTATATCTATACAAATAAATAATTTCTTGATTCATTTTATTATCGCAATAAAGATGAAGTAAATCCCAAATTTATGCTAGAGTATAATCAGAAGCGAACCACCTAAGTGAACATTTTTCTCCTTCCAGAATCCTTAATTTACTAAGAATATGAGCCCTAGAGATTAAAAGATAGTTTTTATCAACCTTGTCAAAATCACTACTCTACAATAAAGTGCTGCCAATTTAATAACACTTTCTTATAAAGAAGTAAAAAAGAAAAAAAAAGTGTAAATATAGAGCAAAAAAGGGATAAGTAAAAAAAATGAATATACAAAAAAAAGGACCAAATTATAAAAGAGTTAAAAGACTATTCTAAAATCTAAAAAAACTTGTCTACTGATATAAAAACCTGCTAACCAGGTGAAAAACTATCTATATGATCGTAAAAATCTATATATAGAGCTATTTGACAAAAGAAACTATAATACACTTTAGTCTATGCTCAGGACTAAAAATTATATGCCTATGACTTTGGAATATTGTATATCTCATATTACTATTCTAGTTGTTAACTTTTGTATTAAATTCAACTCAGGTCCTAGAGTAATCGATCTTAAAGTCTCAATACGTAATTATCAGTTTTAATTTTAGTCTTAAAACTTCTTTCTTACATATGTTTGAATTTTCTTATTCGTCATATCACAACTCAAGACTTTGCAAAAATGAAAGTAGTAAACAATACTGATCTCTTGCCAATCTTTTAAAAAGAGGTAGCCAAATCCTCCACTTTTTGTCAAAAATTATAGAAAAAAAAGAAACAGCCCAAGGAAAAATAGTTTTGTGAGGTTCTAATTTAAAGAATACCTTTTTAATTCTTTGTTTCCTTTTTTAGTTTTTTCTTTCTTCCAAACATAGATTCTTGCGCTATAGTATTTCCAAAATATCTTTTTGGTTTAGATGCCAAATATATAAAGAGAGTCCACCAAGAAAAAAAGCTTGACCCCTCTGAAAACTAATATATAGTAACTTGTACCTTAGTATATCATATCTGCAATTTTTATTAACAACATTCTGTTATCAGAGATAGAAGTTTACTAGAACTTTAGGCTTCAACTCTTCATCTTGTATTTGGTAAAAATTTGGTTCAAGTGATCGTTAAGGAGAGTTGAATGACTAACTCTTTTCTGTATATCAAATAACTAATTTTTTCATATATTAAATAACTAACTTTTTCTTCTATGTATCAAATAACTAACTTTTTCTTCTGTATATCAAATAACTAACTTTTTTATATATCAAATGACTGATTTGATTCTTTTTTTTATATATCAAATAATTGACTCTTTTTTCTGTATATATCAAATGACTAACTTTTTTTTGCATATTAAATGGCTGTTTTTTTTTGTGTATCAAATGACTGACTCTTTTTTCACATATCAATTGACTGACTCTTTTTTTCATATGTCAAATGACTAACTCTTTCTTTCATATATCAAATAACTAACTTTTCTTCTGCATGTCAATTGACTAATGCTTTCTTCTACTGTCAATTGACTGACTCTTTCTTCTATGCGTCAAAAGACTGCTCTTTCTTCTGTATATTAAATAACTAACTCTTTCTTCTGTATATCAAATAACTGATTCTTCTTTCATATATCAAATAACTGACTCTTTCTTTCATATATCAATTGACTAACTCTTTCTTTCGTATGTCAAATAACTGACTCTTTCTTTTATATATTAATTGACTGACACTTTCTTCCAAATATCAATTGACTAACTCTTTTTTTCATGTATCAAATGACTGATTCTTTCTTCTGTATTTAAATGACTAACTCTTTTTTTTGCATATTAAATGACTGACTTTTTTTTGTATATCAAATGACTGACTTTTTTTTTCAAATATCAATTGATTGATTCTTTTTTTTGTATATCAAATAATCAACTCTTTCTTCTACATGTCAAATAACTAACTCTTTTTTTTGTGTATCAAATAACTGTCTTATTCTTCTATATACCAATTGACTGACTTTTTCTTTTGTGTATCAAATAACTGACTCTTTTTTTGCATATCAAATAAATATTTTTTTTGTATATCAATGACTATTTCTTTTTTTGTATATCAATTGACTAATTCTTTTTTTCGTATATCAAATAATTGATTCTTTTTTTTATATGTCAAATAACTAACTCTTTTTTTGTGTATTAAATAATTTTTCTCTTTTTTTTTTCTTTTTTTCTCTCTTTTCTTTCTTTTCTTTCTTCTCTCTCTCTCTTTCTCTCTTTTTTCTTTCTCTTTCTTTTCTTTTTCTTTCTCTTTTTTTTTCTCAATCTCTCTTTCTCTTTCTCTCTTTCTCTTTTTCTTTTTTTTTCTTTCTCTTTCCCTCTCTTCTTTTCTCTTTTTCTTTCTCACTTTTTCTTTCTTTTTCATTCTCTTTTTCTTCTTCTTTTTTTCTCTTTATCTCTTTCTTTTTCTCTCTTTTCTTTTCCCTCTCTCTCCTTTTTTTCTTCTTTTCTTTCTCTAAGGTTAATATTTATTTTATATATATAATATAATTTACCCTGCTTCACAAGGTATATTATATAAATAAAAACCTACTTCATGAGCTTCTATATAGCATTTGAGGTAATATTATATAAACAGAAATCTGCTTCACAAGCTCCTATATAGCATTCATAATTAACATTAACAAAAAATTTTAACAGAAATCTTTTAAAATTCTTTGCTTATACAAAAAACTTTACAAGATCTCTGTTAAAATTTTTTGTTAATGTTGGTCAGATTTTTACAAGCATAACTGACATTCATGCTTTAGTAGAGGAGAGATTATAAAATAAAGATAAATAATATTTATTTTATTCAATTTTTAAATAGTTAACTCTTTTTACTAATCCTCTATATACAAATTTACAAAAACAAAAATTAACAAAAAACTATAAAAAATATATAAAAACTATTAAAAAACTAATCTTGCAACTCTAAAGAAAAAGAATTATAAAGAACACTTAGTCTCTTAAAAGACTTAAGTAAAAAAAACAAAATTATAAAAGTAAATTTGAAAAATTATTAATAATTTTTGTACTTTGCAAAATTTTTAAAGAATTGGCCTTAATTCTGTAATACAGATCTGTTTGAATAATACAAGATTTATAATATGTAATAAAGAATAAACAAAAAAAAATATTAAAAACAATATAGCAAATATAAACAAAGAAAATAAAGAGACACAACAATAATAACAACAACAAATAACAATTCATGTAGATCAAATTTTAATAGAATTTTTTAGAAAAAG